GCGGAGATCATCAGCGCTCAGCTTTTTGTGAACTCACCAAGCAGCCATTGCTGCGGCGGCGGCTATACTGGGCAGCCTTTGCCGTATTTGCTTGATAACACGTAAGAATCTAGGATACTCTTGTCCGACTCCGTGCATGACCCCATTCTCAATATCAGTCAGAATATTGTCTCTGTTCAGTGCAAGTGAGCAGTATTTGGAAAGCATGCTTATTAAGTCTGATGCACCAGGCTCTCCCTCGCGATGCCTGTATACACTGGCTCTCTATTAAGGAGATCTTGAATGCAGTCAGGCTGTACGGTGCGCCGTTCTCCCTTGTCCAGCGGCCCCAGCTCACAGCTCTTGCTAGTCGACTACTAGACCACATCTACACCCAAACGGTACCAGCGAGGGCGTATCTTTCGCTTCACCTCCGCTGCATCCCTCAGTCCACTCTCCGCCGTGCGCGTCGCACCGCCATACCATCCTCGCGTCCCCTTCTGCCGAAGACGACGCTTCCGCCAAGGTCTATGCCACCATCGACGCAGACGAGTCCGTACCGCCCGACACGCCTCTTCAACGTCGCGGAGTTCCTGGAGAAGGCGCGTGAAATCACCCAGCCGCGGCTGCTGGTCGCGGCAGACGACAGGATCGTGGAAGCAGACATGCTTGTTCAGCTCCATAATCTGTTCCCGGTGTGCCTGAGGTTCCTCGCAAGGCAGCTAGAGTTTTCCGCGCTGAAACAGCTCCAGGAGGACTTTGGCGATGCGTCCGGATCCGCCAATGCCCCTTCGAGCTCGGCACGCGTCTCATGCCGTCGCCGAATTATTCGACACCTCGAGATCCTTCATCAAAACTCTGACCCTCCAAAACGCGTCCGCTGATCAGGACACGGCGATCCTCGCGAAATGTTCTCCTTTGTGGACTTCGCGCCCAACAAACTGTGGAATTATTTCCGCTTCAAGCTCGAGGATGGCGCGCTGCCCTGGCTCCGGCGCCTCCGCGTTCGCGTCCCTAAGATCATGAAGTTGCCCTACGACGGCATGGCTCTCGGGCTGGGACATAAACCGCCGCTCAATTCCACTCTGGCAATGCGGAGGAAGGAGTTCCAGGGGATTCCGTGGGGGGTAACACCACTGGAGGCTCTAGATACGTTGAAGTTGGTGAATGCGAAAGAAAAGCTAGACAAGCCGGGGTCGGGTGGATGCAGATGGGGCATCATCGCCGGAATTTCCTGCCACTGTACCAGGTATACGGCTGAAACTGCTTTCTCTGCTGCTCTAAAACGCAGCCAAGGGCCTTACCTCCTCCAGCACGTCTCCCGCCCGCCACTCTCAAAATATGCATTATTTCCTCGGCCTTCCCCCATATCATCTCCCTTCTCCCGCCACGAGTGCCAGCAAACACGTTCTGCAATCAATATTTTACGCCAAACTAATGAAGCCCCGCAAACTCGAAATCGCGATCAACAGAACGTTTGCAACCGTGTCCTAGCGCTCCCCGTCGAAATCGCCAGGAAAATTGGACTCTACGACAAAATTCAGCCTGATTCTTGCCCTCCGTCGGCTCTGGCATCGTTCTGCGGGGCGTGGGTGCCAAGCATCAATTGCAAAGACAACCTTGACGTGTCCACATGGCACCAGGACACGAGAACACGACGCGCCAGATCCTTGCCTTCGCACCACCCCGCTCCTGGAGTTGCCAGATCGTCAGTGGCCCAACATTCTGATTGATTGCGGTCCATGAACCCGCCGCGGCAAGCGCAGTTCCCGCCCATATTTATCCAACCGATTCTGATCTTCATCGTAGCTAGAGGAAGAAGAAGCGACCCTCTTGCAACTCACAGACGGGACCTTATAATCAGAAGGGCCTCGGGAGAGTATGGAAAGCTCGTTTGATCGCCGAATATTGCCCCATATCCAAGTTGTTCCTCAGAGAATCGGCCATCAAAATGACATAGGAGAGTTCTCCCGCTCATACCGTCACTGTTTGTTCCTGGTGTCCCACGAATCCGTGGTCCTTCTCCTGTTGATTTTTGCGGCCCTCCAAAGTACCTCAGTGGATTAGCGCTCATTGGCCCAAGTGAACCTGCTCTTATTTCGGTTGACGGTGTAGTCTTCTCGCTCTAAGAATGAGCTGAGATCATTCTGACGTTTGCTCGACGGCGTCCCGCATTGTTGATCGGCGGGATTCAAAAATAAGGCCTACGCGGGAGGATTCAGCCGCCTCATCAGGGCCCAAGAGAAACGATAAAGCAGCGACCCCAGAAGAGCCAGCCTCCAGTGCTAACTCATTATTGTTCTGCCTCTACACAAAATGCTTTCCAAGTTCAACCAGCTCGCTGCTTTGGTCATGGTCGTCGCGCCGCTCTTTGCCCATGCCACACCCGCCCCGGCTGCACAGGCACTCGAGGAACGCTTCGATGCGCACCAAGGCGACAGTCCGTCCCTGTTGACTCCTCAGAAACGCGCTTACCGGACATGTAGTAACGTTCTATACACCCGGCCTCGGCGCGTGTGGCCAGGTGAACACCGCTGACCAGCTCGTCGTTGCGGTCAACGCGGCGGTCTTCGACTCCTTCCCGTTTGTTATTTTTTTTCTTTCGTTGCACCGACCTCTCTGACCATGCTGTAAACAGCGGGGCGACGGCGAACCCCAACCTGTAAGCTGGGCCGTGCATCTGTGGTAAACCATTGACGATGTTGCGACCCAGGAACCCAATCTGTGGGCATCAACTCCGCATCAACTGTCAGTTTCTCTCCCCGCCTCCCAGCGGCCCTCGTTCATGTAACTTATCTCCCTCCCCGAACTCCAAAAAAATGATGATTCATACCTCTGACAACTAACTCGGACCTGATATGAGGCTGTTCCGTGGCAGGCGTGGTAAAACGCGTTTTGACGCGTTGCGTTCTAAGTTGTTTGTCCATGTGGCACTTCTAATGGATTAATATTCCAAAAAAGGATTCCGAGGCACTACCGTAAAGTACAGGTTTCTATAGCCTAGCGCCCTCCTCTTCTTACCTGTTGCTCAATGACTCACTCACTTCTGGGGGTCACCGTGACGATGCTCTCCATCCCAATGCTCCACCCACTAGCACTGAGTCTTATTTATGCTCATATTCCACTCTTTAACCTTTGTCGCTGCAATGTCAACAACAAAACCGGGAATGCTATATGCGTTTGTGGAAGCTAAGGCTCTCGGAGACCACTCACCTCGCTACGCACGAGCTGGCAGTGATGCAGATAGGGCCCCTATTTCATGCACCTGGACCCCAGAGGGCCCTCAGAGGCCCTATCGCCCTATCGTGAGGGCCGGAAGAGGGCCCTCACGTCCCAAAAAGGAAATTTTCAACAATTCTATTTTTTCGCTAGTCTACCCAACGTACTCGTCCTCCGAGGGAATCCCTACAGCGCCGTCGTCTTCTTCAGCATCAGCAGCATGATTCTGAGCATCTCGCTCTGCCTGCTCCTCGATCTCAGCGCGTGTCGGACGTGGAGGAGGCGCGCGACCTTTGAAGAGCTTGGTCAGCGTCATCTTGGGCCACTTCTTGATGCCGAGAGTGTGGTCATGTCGATGAAAAAAAATCACACTGGTCACAGTGACTGATGCTGCTGTGGGAAAAGATAAGATAAGATAACAAAATAGGGCCCTCAGATGGCCCTCTCGACAACGGCTTCATCGACAGGGCCCTATGTGAGGGCCGACAGGGCCCTATCACGTTAGGGCCCTCACGGCCATTGATGCATCACTGCGAGCTGGATCGGACGTTCTTCTGGGCGGAGGTTCTAGGGGCAACATTTAGTCGGACGCGACACCTTTCATGGCCAGCTTCGATCGGCTCCCACGCTCAAGGGACTTGGTTGGCGGCCTATCCCCTAAAGACCCTCCGTTCCCGAGTGGCCGCTAACACCTCCGAGTCGCGCATCCTCATCTTCGGTACAACACCGCGCCCATCAGTCAAACCCGAGACACCCCCCCCCCCCCCCCCCTCCATTAGGCTTCCACCATTCACGATACCTACCATTAAGAGCACCAACAGGAGGATCTCGATGCCGCGCGTGCTGCATATCGCGACGCCGATTGTACAAGGCAACTTTCTCCTTAAGAGACACCCAGTCTTCGTCGTCGCATTCTCAACGAGAGAGGCGGACAGAAAAATTGCGCTGCGTTTCCGACACCGCGTCCGCGTCACATGGCTGTCCAGGTGTGGGATGGGCATATCTTCCGTGTCCTGGAGCTAAAATCTCATCGGGTGCTGGAACACCCAGTCAGTCAACCACCAGCCTGTTGACAAATGCGCAGCCGCTCCGAGTCAGCAGGCGCGTCCCGCACGCAAACGCCGGGCAGCCTGCACTGGGTCTGTCCCCACTCATCCGCAGCCACCACAGCTGCGACCACGTATTTTCCGCGACCGCGGGGAAGCTCAGAGAGTACATGTACATCCATACTATTGTGTACCGCATAATGGCATCTGTAGTGCGAAATGAAAAGAACACATACCGCCATGCCTAGGGATGGGGTATGCTAAACTTTTGACATTACCCACCTGTACAGCCCACCAGACCGGCCTAATAAGAGGGGGCACGAGGTGGCCGTGCCCCCTCTACTTACCCGAAACCGGCTAAAAAGTGATTTTTCAGGGTTCCCTGTAGGCTGCCCGCCCCGAATCCCAGACTCCTGATCGTATCGGCGCCTGCTATCGGATTATCAGCCAACAAATCCCTAAAAAACTGCAAAGTGATGTCGAGTGCGCATAGCCGAGCGGGATGGAGTCGGGTAAGGCCCTAAGTAGACACGAAAGCTGCTTGTTGTAGTAACTTGACCTCATGCCGAGCATCTCGGCCGCGAGTCGCTGTGTAAAGAGAAGTGAAAATTTGACACTGACAGCTGATTGCCGGCGGGCCGAATAATAAAAAACCGACCAAAACATTTTGGCCAACCCATTTAAAAACCAGTTTATAACCCTTAACCGGTTTACAAAACATGAATTAAAAAATAAGGCTCTAGATCTACACTTGTATTCCGGAACGGGGAATCGAACCCCGGGCTGCCGCGCACACTCAATACCCATGCAGCTGCATGAGAGGCAGTAATGTTACCCCTACACCATTCCGGAGTTACCCTGAGATTCTGAAGAACAATGGTAAAGTGAGAACAGCAAAGGAGATGAAAACAAAGAAATCTGCGTTCCGTTCACTTCCACATCACTCCACAGTTATTCGATAAAATGCATTGATGTCTACAGTTGGTGCGGCGGCATTTACATGGTGTGTCCGGCGACTGGCGCTATACACTTGCCAGGGCCACCAGGGCCACATTCCATTAAATTTGCCTGATCGGCATCAGGCGGCATGAGCGTTGATGCCGCATCAACTCTTTCCGGCTTCCGACGCCAAACCCTCCACACGTGACACGGCTGTATAGACCGTGGACGGTCGCAGCCTCGGGTGGGAAACTCGGACATCCCCGTTCTTCCGGTCGGTGTCCACCTCTCTAACGCTGAGATCGCAACTTGTTAGTGCCGTCGTCAAGCCAACAACCGATTGTCCGCATCCAGGTTGTCTTTCAGTACTGAATCAAGGCCAAGTCGAACACTCGCCCATCGTCGTCGACGAAGCCGGGACCGCGCCGATAGACATTTCAGGCCTGCCCCTCCTCGAAACTTAGGTTCTCGTGCCCGCACACACAGAACTGCCGCGGCCCTCCGCGTGTTCGTGCGCGCGCTGCAGTCCTTCCCTCCGGGCACGGGCAACCGCGCGACCTTGATCGCCGTCCGACTGAGCGTCCTCGAGCGCAGTCCTGTCACTCCTGTGGAGGAGTGCGTGCGGATTCTCGATACTCAGCTCTCGGAATTGGGCGAGAAGGTCCTGCCGTCGAGTGCTTTGAGACATGGCTGCCTCGGATTAGCGCAAAGAGTTGGTTAAATATCCAGAGACAGTGAGCATGTGCAGAGCGACTATTCAAACGACGGCATATATTTTGCCAGCCTGCCAATGATGTATTTTATTCCAGGATGCAGGAAGTATTTGCGCTATCACATGACGGTCATTTGCTGAGTGACTTCCTTTGTCTAGTTCATTTTGAGGTAACTAAATTCTGTCGCATCTACTGATCAACACCTGCGCTGTCTTCTGCTAAATAAGATGGGTGAAGCTGAACAATGTCTTAAGCGACGCGTGTAGCGTTCAATCACAGTCAGAGAACGAGCATGACATTTAACTACGTTGTACCGTCGGCCAATTCAATGCGAGAGCCGCACTATGGGCGGTGCATGTGCTCTCCGTCGAAGCAAGAAGCTCCAGGTTTTGGAAGGACGCTTGTTGAAGTTGTTCAAAATATTATGAGGGTGCCTTCCTAAGGGTTAAATGTTGTTTCCAATTTGTCTTCTTCTTTTTTGCCCCATTTGAGTTGCATTTCTAATGATTCGGCTAAATGTGCGATATCACGGCCGTTCTGTCAGAAGCCCTGTCGAACAGTGCTCGCCCTGGGGACTTGTGCACGAGGCCGTGTTATAATTCAAGTGAAGCTGTCCCGGGAAGGTGATGCTGGGAACTAACAGTCGGATGTCGGCATGTCAGCGGCCAGCCATGAATGAATGTTCGCAGCGTCAAAGGCTGCGAGTATTGGAGCAGAGTGGCTCAGACAGATACACGCATGCGCCGTTTCAATAAAAGGTGACGAGTGAACATGGCATGTCCCATGCCGTGCGGCTATCAGGAAACCATGTATGTTCGGCGGAACCTCCAGCGAAAGACTGGAAAAAGCCTGAATGGCAGGATCTGAACGAACTCTAAATACAAGCGAGACGATTCGACATCGGCTAAAAAGCGGTGCGAACCGCCGGCGGCTAACGAGATGGAAGACGGGCATCCCGACGGCGACCGAACCTTGCCATCGGTGATCGGTCCGCTTGACCGACCGTGCCGTGCCTTTTCTTTCCAGACGGCGATGTCGTCTGCCAAAACATTATGCTCTCCTCCTTCCTCTGCTGCTTTCCCCATTCCCAACGCGCTCCGAACAATGATTCACCCGTAAGTACGATGAGCGATGCACGCCGCGCCTGCTGAGATGAGGCGGCAGGTTATTCCCGACGAGAACACGCACCTCATCCCAGCGAGAGTGGATACTACGACACCGGAGTTAGAGGGCCGCATCTTCCGGGATAGGTTGGCCGCAATTGTACGCTCCACGCAGAGGTCTGTCGCCTGCACGATGCTGGTTCCGGTTTATCAGTGCGCGCATTCTCAGCAAAATGGTCAACGTCGGCGCGCGCATGCCATTCTGTGTTACACTCCAGAGTGAGACGCCTGCGTCCGCGCACGCACGACTCCTACCACATTCGTCCCCAGCGATGTCGACGCCGTTGTCGCGTCGCCCCCTGCCCGTGCTCACCATGACGCCTGCCAGCGCGTGCAACATGCACTCGAGCAGCGCCAGCAGCGTCTCTTCCTCCCGCGTGGGCTCGCGCACATCGTCGCCGCGACGGCGCTTGGCCGGTGCAGACTCGGACCGCGGCCGCTGGACGTACCTCTATTCGGATTGCGCTTCAAAAGATGAATCCGCGGCGGGTGTGTCCTGCGGCGCATCTGGGTCCGACGCCGCTGCCAGTGCCAGTGTCAGTGCGTGTGCTACGCCTGTAGACGTGGGACCGAAGGTATGCGCATCGCACATGCGGTTCGCGGCGTGTCGTGCGTTAACATGCCTAGACTGTCCAGGGTCCTACGCACGCATCCCACGCCAACCATGATGGAAGCTGGGATGATGCCAGTGGGTCTCCCACCGCCGCGGTCGCGATTATCGGTCCTCGGCACTGGCAGAAAGAGCCCGAGTGTAGCGCGGACGCAGGTGCGGATGTAAATGGTCCGCCACTGTCGATAGCGTTCTCGTGGAGCAATACCGGTGTATGATCCAGTTTCCGTATTCAAAGCCCATGCTGGCTCTAGATTTGCCATGTCCCTCACTCCATCATTTCATGCAACACTTGATGAAAAACTTTCACTTACTTCCCGCCTGAGTAGCGCGACAATATGGAGTGCGAAATAAAAAGAACCCATATTGGCATGATATTGCCAACCATGCCTAGAATCGACAAGAGATGGGTTACGCCAACTGCCGTGAGGGCTTGTCTGGGCTTGTACTGGTTCAAAATTCAAAATGGTAAGAGTGCTGGCCTAAAAAATAGTACCCATCAATTCGACACTTTCGGAGTCCATCCAGTCCGGAACGGGGAATTGAACCCCGGGTTGCAAACAATTATGTCAACATGGTAGCCGATGGCAGCAATGTTAGCCCTACACCATTCCGAGGCCGATATGAAATAATATAAGCCTGGCTCCAGTCCTTGGCGGTGTCAACCAAACTAGGACTGGAGCCGATGTCTCGGACTGGAGTCCGCCCCTGTTAATGTTGTATATAGTACTTGAATACATGTTGTCCTAACCCCGACTCCAGTCCGACCCCCCGACTCCAGTCCAAGCCAGGACTCCAGTCCGACCCCCCGACTCCAGTCCAAGCCAGGACTCCAGTCCGACCCCCCAACTCCAGTCCAAGACAGGACTCCAGCTCGTCCCCGAATCCAGTCCCAACTCATGACTCCAGTCCATCCTGACTCTAGTTCAACTCCGACTCTAAAAAAAAACAGCACTTAATTCACATATTTCTCAAGTTACATACTTTCAACTCAAGTCTCTCATACAGTAAAGTGCTATGTACTCGTATCTAAAGTTCTACCCGTATCTACACTACTCATATCTGCTGCTGCTGGGCCCTGTTGGCCAAGGGAAGAGGGTTTCATTCATTGGCCTTTTATATATGTCCAGCCTGGGCCACCATCATGATGCCACTGGTGACTGCCAGTGGAGCAAAGCTCATGCTCATTGTCTTCTCAACATGGCAACACACAATAATGGAACAGAGCATTTTGTCCCAAAGAAGCATATAATGGCTCAAGAGATATGTTCATTCTCTTCCCAAAATGGCAGTGGACACATTAGAACAGAGCAAGGAATCATTGTATGTTGTCATCCATTTTGAGAAGACAATGAACATAAGTTTTGCACCAATGGCATGGTGGCCCAGGACCAATAGAACAGAGAAAGGGATCATTGTTTGCCATTTTGAGAAGACAATGAGCTTTGCTCTGGTGGCATGGAGGCCCACACTGATCATATATAAGACCAGTGAATAAAACCCCCTTTCCTTGGCCCTGTCCAGCAACAGGGCCCACCAGCAGTAGATATGAGTAGTGTACATGTGAGTAGCATTTTATAAGGGACTTGAGTTGAGTATGTAACTTGCAATTGAGAAGTAAAACTCTTAAGTCCAGCCTTAGGTGAATTGAAAGGTTTGACGCTATGAGATGAGCTACTTCTTGAGGTAATATGTCATTTTTCCTAAGGGTTTTTAAGAAAGGTTGAGCTAGTTTCATTTGGACTGGAGTTGTGAGTTGGAACTGGAGTCGGGATTGGACTGGAGTTGTGACTCGGAGTTGGCCTTCAGTTGGGACTGGAATCAGGGACGAGCTGGAGTCCTGGGTTGGACTGGAGTCGGAGGTTCGGACTGGAGTTGGGGTTAGGACAATATGTATTACACTACTATGTATCTATGTATAAACTACAGTAGAGCACTCCAGTCCGAGGCCTCGACTGGAGTCCCACTTTGGTCTACACCGGTCAGGACTGGAGAGAGGCTTATAAATTAGTTGGGCCGATGAGTAATTCTGTTTGTCAGTGAGCAATGATGAAGTGATTGCAGGGAGAACGACGGCCTTGCGAGATGGGTCCTCAACAAGCTGGTGAATAGGTTCTAGCGCTGCGACATTTTCGCCTATATTCACTGTCGCTCGTGTTGTTTTCCATTGAATTGATTTTTTGTGGTGCCGTTCAAGTTGCTCTGGTAGCTTGAAGTAGATTCGCTTGCTCGAATCGAGCTCGGTGGGTGACTGCGTAGCAACCCGGCGGTTCCAAAAACGCGTAAATTCACCATATTTTGTGACCTTGTAGACCTTCTCGGGGGAGGCGCTGGTGTTCAATGGAATGAATGACGCAACATTTGCCTGAAATAGTTCAAACCCTCTTGAACTGGTACAACGGGGGTGGTCGTTCGTTGGCGCAACTG